CAAAGAGAATAGATGTTCTCACCAGCTCCCTGTGATGTAAAACTTAAGATAATGGCTTCTAGAAATCAGAGGATGTGACTTTTCAAGTAAGGGGAATGTACAGTATGTGAAAATGAATATACACACACATATAAAATATACAAAAATATAATACCCCCCTCATGTTGGTTTTAAATAGGGACAATTTTAATGATTTTAATAAGACACAGCGATAAATATTTGGTTTTTAATTGGCTTTTATAGGGGATAATGTTTTATATTGTTTTAACATGCTGTGAGCCGCCCTGAGTCCCATGGGGAGAAGGGCGGCATATAAGTTAATGAAAATAAAATAAATAAAATATGATACTTTTTTCTTTTGAAAATATACTTAAAGAAATCTACTAATCTGTTGATCTGAGGTCACTGAAAGATGTTAAAATACAGTATTTCCAACATTTCCCATCCAAATTAGGTGGCAGCGGAAGAATGCTTGGCCCTAAAGTAGTATAAGTAGTCCTCAACTTACAACCATTTGTTTGGTGACTGTTCAAAGTTACAACGGCACTGAAAAAAGTGACTTATGACTGTTTTGCACACTTACAACCTTTGCATCCTTCCCAGGGTTACAGGATCAAAATTCAAGTGCTTGGCAACTGTTATGCATTCATGACAGTTGCCCTGTTCCTGGGTTGTGTGATTACCATTTGTAACCTCCCCAGCCAACTTCTGACAAGAAAGGTCAATGGGGGAATCAGGATTCACTTAACAACTGCATGATTATACTTAATGACTACAGTGATTCACTTAACAACCATATCAAAAGGGTCGTAAAGTGAGGCAAAACTCACTTAACAGCTGCCTTGCAACGGAAATTTCTGGCTCAATTGTGTCCATAGATTGAAGACTACTTGTAGTTTTTTGTGTGAAAGAATTTCTTGGCTGTTTTTTGTATGTGGTCAGAAGCACCCTGTCCTTTAATCTTAATTCTCTTCCACTACTTGAACCTCTGGATCTGGATGGTGAAAAAGCAAAGTAGTGAAAAAGCAAAGTAGATGAAACAAATCAGGAAATTATCCATGTTGTACTGAATTAATGAATGAACTTATTTGAAACACTTACAGCCATGTGAGACCCAGAAAATAGATTTGCTGTTTAAAATGTATACAGCAATTGCAATGTTTTAAGGTTGATTGTGCCATCTGGTGGCAAGCAAAGAGTTTTCTAATCCTGAATAGCTTTGAACCAAAACTGTTTCAAAGTCTATTTCCATCTTTATAAACTCCCCTGGTGATAATCTGTTTTAGAATATGCTTGCATGGCATGCTTAACCATGGCTAATTTATACTAGAAACCATGGTTAAACAAATCTATTGTTTATTACATATTAAGTCAATTTTTTGGGTTCCTATAATTCTTCATTAATCGACACTCTAGGTTAAAATATGGCTGGCTGATTTATGGTTAAGTATGCCATACTTTTCTTTTCAGGCCTATCACTAAAGCTGACTAGGTTGTTTTTCAGTGCTGGTTGTTTTTCATTCTCTACATAAGAGAATGTTCTTCTCTAAAGCTCCACCTGCCCCTTCTCTTTCAATTTTTAAGCAGACACTCCCAAGGATTTTTTATACTAATTAGTCCATTGAGGTAGAGGTAAGCTACATATCTGTTCCCAGGCATGACTAATATACTATGTTTTTAAAGCAGTTGTTTTTAAAATTATAATCTACCTTGAATAAATTTGTTCCAGGAATATTAAATTTGCTACACGTACCAAAACCAAGACTTCAAGATTTCATTCACTTCCATAAGCTTATGTTCTCAAATACCACTATTGATCTCCGTAGGTAGTTTACACTAATATGGTTACTATAATAATAATAATAATAATAATAATAATAATAATAATAATAATAATAATAATAATAATAATAATAATAATAATAATAATAAAAAACTTCCAGTGTAGGAGCATTCACCGCTTCTGGAGGCAGGTTGTTCCACTGGTTAATTGTTCTAACTGTCAGGAAGTTTCTCCTTAGTTCTAGGTTGCTTCTCTCTTTGATTAGTTTCCATCCCTTGCTTCTTATCCTGCCTTCAGGCGCTTTGGAAAATAGCTTGACTCCCTCTTCTTTGTGGCAGCCCCTGAGATATTGGAACACTGCTATCATGTCCCCCCTCGTCCTTCTGTTCATTAAACTAGACATACCCAATTCCAGCAACCGTTTCTTATACGTTTTAGCCTCCAATCCTCTAATCCTTGTAGTTTTGGTAACTGGTGGCTTTTTTCTCCCTTCAAGTTAGGGTTGATTCCTAACTTGAAGGGAGGAAAAAGCCACCAGTTACCAAGACTAATAACTGCCTGGACTGGTCCTTGCACTTTTCTTGGTGATATTTTTGCAAGAGACTTGCCATTGCCTTCATTGACTCAGAGAGGGTGACTGGCCTAAAGTCACTTAACTGGTTTACTGCCTAAAGGCAAAACTGAAATTCAAACTTCTGGTTTCTAGACAGATGCGTTAAACCATTACACCAAACTAATTCTCTGCTTAGTGTATTGTGAACCTAATTGACAGAGCTGCTACTTAAAAATATGTCATGACATCAGCTCAAACAAAGCAAAAGTTCTTTCAGAAAAGTAGTAGAGTTCAAATTATGCTTAAAGAAGCTCTGAAATATATGTACTTTCTCAGCAAAATCACATTTGACAAAAATATCATTTTATTCCCCAATATATAGAAGTCTGCTAAACTACAGAAGATTGAAAACATGAAATAATTTCTCAGATAGGAGAAATTTTATTAAATGCATCAGATTAAGTTGTTATTTAAGTACTGAACGGAAAAGAACCCGTGTATTCACAATGCCTACAAATTGAATTGTTTTCAAATTTAGTCAGTTAGCACTCACAAAGCAACGTCAATGAACTTTTAAACTACTTTAAAATAGCACTCAGTTAACCTAATTTGAGAGCACTAGATACTAAAATTAATTATGGCAGAATTTATTTATATCATTATTTTTGTAACTGACAGGGTGGCGATCAAACACAATACTCCTCCTTCTATTTTCCCTACAACAACCTTGAGTGAAGAAATGCACATGTAAGTTAATTACTGCTCACACACCTTGCCTCATTCATTTTATGCAAGATTCAAACAGCGTGGTCTTTTGGATGTGATCTATGTAGTCCTTAAGAGTCAACGGTAAACTGATGACACATAATCTGTCAAAATATTCTCTCCTGAACATCTACAGTCCTAGTTATTTACAAGAAAATAAGCAGGAACTCAGATTAGTTGGAAAAAGCTGAGTGATGCCACTAAATTCCAGCCAGCACAGTGTATTTCTAGCTTGTATTTAAGGCATTAAGTGCCCTTGAAAAAGACAAGTAGCATATGAATGTTGTTACTGTTTACGTTGTTACCTTTAAAATCATTTTTTGTTCATGACAAAATGGGAGTCCACTTCATGATTGCTTAAAATAGAGTAAGAAATATCTCACTATATATTTCCACAATTAGCTAGGTTATTGGAACACCTTAAGCCAAGGGTGTCAAACTGCCGGTCCGTGGGCTGGATGCATCATCCGGAAGCTGTGCCCACCCCATTGCCGGCAATGGCAAAACCGTTCTGATATGTTGCGTGATGTCACATGACATCACGAGTTTGACATGTCTGCCTTAAGCAGAAAAATTAGATAACCCTTTTTGCTGCAGTAAAACATCATTAAAAAATCAACTCATCATGCACTTTCTTTCAATACCATTCTACTCTCACTGTGAGTATGGCAGATCTTCTAACAAGAATTAAAGTTTTAGACCTGTTCTCCATATTTCACTGAAGAAAAGTCCTTCAACATTGAGAATTTTGCATTAGCATTTTCACTATTGAACAGAAAGCTATTTTTAAACTACAGATATGACTAGGCATAACCTTTAAGGAAATAACAAATAGGCACTCCTTAGTAACATAAGTCATATGCTGAAAAGAATTTATTTTTCTCAAATAGAAAGGGAAAATAAACAAAAATTAAATATAAAATTTATTGTTCATTGTTCACCGGTACAAAAATACAGTATAGCATGCTGAAATAAGGCAACCACCATAACATTCAGTGAGATACTTTTTTTTTCTTCCATTGATGAAAACCTGAAAGATGAATGCACAAATACATAAAAGCAAAGTTCATATAAATCAACCAAATGAAGTAACAGGCAATTGTAACAGGAAAAAGTACACATAATCATGTAATTAGCACTTGTTTCATTCTATTCCTGGAACAAGCAGGAAAATGAGGCTATACATACCATAATCTTAATGTATTTGGGAATAACCCCATGGAATACTCTTGTACTAATACTAATTAGTACTTGGGAATACTCAATACACTTACTTTTGAGTATACATGCATAGGATTGCATTGTTAGGATAATCTCTATAGCAGATTTATCCATTTAATCAATTTAACTTCTTGAGACTCATAGATGTGGTTCTAATGTAATTTTACTCAATTTGGCGATTTACATATGAGCATAACTCCCATAATTTCAGCCAACATGAATTGTGGAAATTGTATCCTAAATATGTTTAGCATTACCAGGATGAGAAACACTGAATTAAGTTCATGTCAAAGAAAAAAAAATCCACATATTCTTTTCTCAAAATCTACTAAAATGAACAAGTTTTATTTGTAAGATATTTTAAAAAATCTTTATGATTAATGCCCTCAACATGTGTTCTTATAATTTGGCTTTAAATTCCACTGAAACCTGATTACTCATGCAGTTAAGATTGAAGCATTTATTTGTTGAAGTATTTAGCCATTTTTTTCTACTATAAATATCCATTTCAATGTAAACAAGGGAGTACATATTACTTTAATTGAATTCACTGTATGAAAATTAGACAGCATCTGATTTACCATCTACAGTGGTTTTTTTTCAGAGCACCAACATTTTTATATGAAAAAAGTTAGGGTCACATTTAAATTTAGATGCTGAGCCTATACAAAATAGATATTTGGGGTATTATAATTCATCTCCAATATGTTTTTTCTTGAAAGCATCTCCTGTTAGCTTCTCTTGGGCTACCTTCATCCCTTGGATCACTGCAATATTAAAACACAAGATATTCTTAGTACTTGGTTCAATTCGATTAAAATAATTGAGCAAAGCTATATTTTATATGCAGAAAATCTACATATAAATGAGCAATATTTAAAGTAGCAACTTCATGTTCATAATATATTTCCATCATGGCTCTTATGCAATTCATTTTCTTGATGATTTTTTTGGTCAACATTATCTTGGACTGAAAGTGATGTCTGTTAAAAGGCAGTTTTATAAAATTACAGCTGCATTCATTTATTAAATATATACTCAGTTTTTTATTTTATACAACTCAAGTACCATATATAGTTCTCTTATTTTTTTTTAAATCAATTTACTGTTTTGCTAAACTGTATGTACCCAACATCTTTTTTTGATGTCCAATTCTGGCTGCAACCTTTCATGGTGCAGCATTAGATGCCATAATTAATATTCATAAATGGCATTTTAAGGATGCCAAGGTAAGGAGTCCTGGAATGTACTGAATATGCATCCAACTGCTCTGTGGCTTTTTGAATGCCAACTGTCAATATTTGTTCAAGGCATTTTATTTCCTTAAGACATTTTGAACCCTTAGTGTAAGTTCCTCAGAATACAAGTTCTGATCTCTCTCTTTCTCCCCCCTCCCATGAGAAGTCAATCTAATTTGGCACTACTGTATAATTCAAGTCTCCTTTACCAAAACCCAATTTACATGCAATTCAGACATACCTTGATCAGCACTAGTATAAAAATACTTGTAGTTGGGGTTTCCTTTCTCATTTATGATCTCTGGATGGATCTTTCCACTGGGATCTGTGTAAAAGAGGAGATCAATGAAAAATAATGACTGCAATCTGAAAGGCATTCTTTTATCCTTCAATACAAGTTGATGAGTAACCACATTTATGTCATACCCATGAAAATAATTCTAGGAATGTAACCTCCATCAGGGCTAAAAGCTTCATCCTTAGGTTCTTCTTCATCCTGGAAATAAAATATAAAGTTAAAAAATAGCTTTATTTCTGCATGAATCCCCCTTAATCACTACTATATATCAAAAACAGAAGGGCCATTACATTAGTATAGCAATACCTAACTACTACTATGTTCCCTGTTTGAATACAATATCTTCAGACCATTTTTTTTAAACCCAAGAGACTTGGTGTTATCAATACAGACAATAGTTGCCAAAAAGAAATAAAGTTTGTCTTCATGTAAGTCAATTCTTTCTGTTCTTAAAATAATTCCTTAGTTAATCTTGATTTTGAAACTCAAAACACCTTCTTGAACTGAAGAACATATTACATCCTTCTTATGTTTACAGAAATGGCAGTATATAAAATTTAGGACATGAATTATTTACTAAATAATGCATTAAATACTTTTGAGATTGCATAATGCAAAAAATAAATAATTTTCTTTTCAGAAACAGACATCTTTTATAGCTAAGTTTTCTGTTACATGAATTTTACCATGAACCCGTGACTTGTTGGGTTATCATTTCAGAGATATTGCCTTACACATAAACAGAGAAACACAATGATTCAAGGTTGCCAAAAAATCAGTTGGAATGGGAACAACCTCAGACTTCTTGTTGGCTTCCCCATTGGGTTTCCTTCTGGGAAACTGGTAGTTACAATCTGGCACTTACAATCCTTCCTTCCTTCCTTCCTTCCTTCCTTCCTTCCTTCCTTCCTTCCTTCCTTCCTTCCTTCCTTCCTTCAACAATGGCAGAGCTTCTAATATACTTAAAAAGTTCTTCAAAATTAAGGGAAATGTTCAGAGATGTATCTCTGAACTGCACAGCATAGTCAAACATCAGCAATGGATCACAGACAATGATTTGTGACATTTTGTATTATGTAATAAAATGCTTTACGATAATTCTTACGTCATATTTTGCAAAATGTGCCAAATTTCAATTCCAGAGAAGTCATACATCCTACATTTTGGATGCATTCTTCCAGTTAGCCCGTCTGAGGTATGTTCATTGAAAAGGTTTTGCCCCATGATGCTCCATTTCGCAGTCGAAGGTTACAGATTTAAGAGTTTTAGTAATATATAGAAAGCATTCAAAGAAAGAATTATTCATTTTAGTATTCTAGAAACTTACCTCAAGGTTAACCATTACAAAATTATGGGCAAGCTCAGAGATTTCCTTTGATTCAGCAAACTTTGGTTTTAAAGCTAATAAAATATAAAAGGTGAAACTAATCAATAAAGACGCAAACATAGCAGCATTGGATTCAGACTAAGTTGGATACATAGAGATCCCCCTGAATCCAGTACTGATAGATAGTAGTGACTAACTTAGGGATGCAGTCTATGACTCTATCTGATCATAATTTACTTAAATACCAATTTTTCTTCTTTAATACTAATTCAGGGATAGAACAAATGGACATATTTAAACTTCAAATGGAAGCATAAATGAAATTAATACTGTTTTACTTTATTAGTTCTTGAGATTAGTTCATCAATGTAGCAAACAGTCCCTGGAGTTTCTGTTTGAAAGCAGTATACACATTATATTAATGGTAAAAATGCAGGTAGTCCTTGACTTACAATCATAATTGGGCCCAGAATTATGATTATAGGTCATTGTGGTTATTGTGGGTTACCACATGACCAAGACCAACTTTACAACCTTTTGTGTAGCTTTTGTTGTTAAGAAAATCTGATTTATCCAGTAGTAAATGCTGGAAACTGGCAAAAAATATTGAAAATCACAGTCACATGATGGCAGGATGCTGCAAGCAGCCATAAGAGTGAGTTGTTGTGAAGTGCCCAAAATGCAATGTGACTCTGCGAGGGGTGTGTGGCTATTTGAACATCAAAACTGGATTGTACTTTTTTTTGGGGGGGGGGGAATGGGGTTTTCATCATAACTTCATGGTTGCTTAGTGACTGGTCCTTAAGGTAGAACTGCCTGCATGTTTTCATAAATATTGCAATTTCCCATCCATTATTCCATGAAATGTCAGTAGCATTGCCTGTGATATCTTACCTTTGCAAGCACCACACCAGGATTTATGAATTATTACCATGAGAGGCAATCCACTAAAAAATATTGAAATATACATTTTAGTGTATGGCATAACATACCTGAACAAGCAATATAAATTAATATTTCAACTAGATTAATAGAACCCAATAAAATACAACTGGTATTTGAACATAGATCTTTTTAACAATGTCTAGGCAATCTAACCTTTGAAGTGGAGCATCATTTATATTAAAAAAAAATATCAGATACTGTGATCTCAGCTTACAGCTGGTCACAATGTGATCTACAGTTTAATGTGGGGCCCCGCAGTCACACTGAGGGGAGGATACTATACCCCATTTATACAGAAAGTCCTGGTAAATACCCTGTGAGGTACAAATCCTATTTAGGATTGTTCATTGCTGATGTGGTAGTTCAAAGCCTGGCACCCTTTTTTTGTGGAATACGAACCTAGTTCACCTCCTTACAGTGCACCCTAGACAGCATGAAAGTGTGAACTAAATGAACTAACAACTGCTGCAGCCAGACTGCTCTGTAGACTTTCCTGGATTTCAAAATACATGGCAACGAAAATGAAAACCTTTTCAGGCCCAAATAACAAAGAGAAATCAGGAATATTATTCGAATTTGCCAAATCAATGTTGAAGGGCTCAGCAGATCCAAGAGTCAATATATTTCCAAACCTTTTTTGAAACGTACAATTCAAGTAATTATCAACACATAGTTCAATTCCAAGCTCATCATGTATTAAGCTGTAATACTAAATCACCTGCCTGAACAAATCTGCACTACTCTTAGGAAAAGGCCACATTGATTAAAAGTAATTGTGGGGCACAATCAGCAGCAGCAACGATGGAGCTGGTAGTGTTGGTGAAGCTGAGAAGTTCTGGAGGTACTCAACAATCTGTCTTTGAGAAGCCAGATTCTTCCTGTATGGCAGCGTTATTTGGTGGTGAAGTTATCTTTAGAAAACACTAGATGACAACACAAATCTGGGCCCATATATTGTATGATTCATTGAATAACACGAATGGCTTCACATACTACACTTCTGTTCTGCAGCAAGGTTAAATATCCTGATTTAATTTTTATACTTACTTTCAAGCATAGATATTAGTTACAGAATCTATTTTAAATAAAGTTGGACATCCCATTGTAGCTGTATTTCCAGACAATACTCTTATGTTTTTTGCTCTTACATATAAAGTATTTCATTCTGAAACAAATGATAGGTTGTATCAAATCCCATAGACTAAAATTGAAGTTTACTCCCATATTAGCCTATTATTTTCTTAGAACAGATTTTTCCTTTGTCTTCTATACTCTTCTGTGCCTCTTCCATCTATTCCTGTCCACAAATGGGACACAAGATGATGCAAAGGACTGCAGCAGGAAAGGGGTGGGGAGTCAGTAGAAATGAATGCATAAATTATTTTCCATTGACAAAAGTTTCTACTCGAGAATATTTTCTAATTGCTCAGACTTCTTGACTCTTAGAAAGCATGATAATTCAGCAGTAATGGAGACTTCTGAACTTGTGCAACATGATATTCATCAGCTGGATTCCATTCCAAGGCTTAGTCACCTTCTACCCAAATCCCCTTCAGGTCTGAGTGCTGAGGTTGGACTTCTCTTTATGCGTGGTCCTGAACTTAGAACATGTTTATGGAGATAATTTAAGATTACAACATACCTGGCTGCAGCCTCTTTTTTCCCATCTTCTAGTGTTCTCCAGTGAATGTGATCTCCAAAACCTTGGAAGAAGAGAGCAAAAATATACTGTCTGATTTAAAATAGTGACTCCCAACCTTTTATGGCACAAGGGACAGGTTTCATGGAACACAATTTTTCCACAGAGTGGGGGGCGGGGGGATGTTTTTGGTTTCACTCACTTGTCTGCCACTTACCTCCAATGTTTGTAACAGACCATGGACTGCTACTGGTCCATGGCCCGGGGTTTGAGGACCCGATTTAAAACATTCATTACGGTAGGTAAAAATATCTACCATGTGCAAATACTTAGAATGGTAAGCACAAATGATATTTTTCAGAAAGTCCTTAGTGACTCCATGAAATCTTACAAACTTACTCTGTAGTAAGCAATTTTATATTTTTACTGTGAACTGCATTATGCCCATTCTTTCAGAACTTAGTGAAACTCCACATAAAATCATATTGCCTCAGCACAGGTCTGTAAATATATGATATTACAAAAATTACAGAGTTTGTAACATGAAAGGAAAGCTTGTTTTTAAGAGACTTATAACAAAAAGTTGCACAATTTAAAAAAAACACCTTATTTCAGGACAAGCTATTTTAGATACATTTTTATAGCATTACAGTTTAAATGCATCTTACTATTTTCACATATTGGAAACTATGTGACATAACTTTCTATACATTTGTAGAATATAGGGCTTCCAACATAGCCTTTATTGGAGCTCAGTACCTTGAAAACCTCTCTGTTTTTATAATAACAGCTATAAGTAGCATTATTGGATGCTTATAACAAAAATCCCAAATTATGCTTATCCCAAAGCATAATGTAATTAGAATACTTTTCAAATCTTACTTACAGAGTAACAACATTTCCTTGCTAGGTAATTGCAGAATAATTCAAGGTGCACGAAGAACAGAACTTCCCTGTCTTAGAATAACCAATATTATGTTACCTTTATGTTTTTCTTCCCAAAGAAAGTATCACTTTTGTCCCTGAATACAGAAGCTGTGTAAAGATGTCACTGACAGTGAGGATTGTCAGTGCATTATTTTCTATGAGAATTGTGTTGCATTAGTTTCTATTCTACAAAGCAAGTAAGCCTATTCTGACATGAAGGTCAGATAGAAAAAAGCATCCTGAGAAATCATAATCAAGCAACAGGAAAAGCAAAGAACTAAAATTTAAAAATAGTTCAGATACTTCAATCTATATTTGGCAGACAGCCGGAAATCCCCAGGAGTAACTTGTCCGCAAATAATATAATACTTGGTGGGGCAGTAGTGGATAGACTCAGTCATTTCCTCTCTTCTTGCTTAAAATTTGAAGAAGTTAATTTGCACATATGTGGCACTTTAAGGTGTGTACGTGGCCATTAGAGGTTGGTTATTCCTACTGTATCTTAAACAGGGCTTTTTTTTCTCATAGAACGCCCAGAACGGAGTTCCGGCACCTTTTTTGGATGGAACCTTGTAGGGTAGGCAAGGCGGGTTGTATGACGTGTGTGAGTTCTGGCACCTTTTTTTTTTTTTTTTTTTTTTTTTTTTTACAAAAAGGCACTTATCTTAAATAAGAATCATGTCTGCTCATCTCACCTGATCATCCATTAAAAAGAATTGATACAATGGCAGAAAAAGCAGGATATGATCAAGGAAATCCAGTTTAATTTTAACTGATGAATTAGAAGACATGCCCCATTACCTACTTTATTATCTTTAACAAGTAGCAAACACCTAATTGACTCTAAGAAATAATTTAATAGAGCTTTAATAGCTAAATGCAAAATTGTGCATTAGGCTACCACTTTAGAATAAGATTAAAAATTTATGACTTGAACTTTGGAAACAGAAATATTATAGGTAAATCTCTGAACTATTTAACAGTAATATATTCTTAGAAATCGTTCAACGACTATCTTCTGCCACAGGTTTCCTCCCATAGACCGGTACGCTCCCACAGAGTGGGTCTCCTCAGGGTGCCGTCAGCCAAACAATGTCGGCTGGCGACCCCCAGGGGAAGGGCCTTCTCTGTGGGTGCCCCCACCCTCTGGAACGAACTACCCCCCGAGATCCGGAT